ATGTAGATCATAAGCAGTCTGACTCACACTAATTGTTGATTTATAGATTACAATGGCTTATCTTATTGTATTGGATACAGGCTGTCAGAGATTGCAATAATATTACAATATACAGGTACTATTTTCCAGATTGACATCTTTTCATCTCAAATTAAGGCAAACATGTGGTATTTAACCTTTAGGGATTGGTTCATTTCTCTTAGCATAATGGGATTTTAGTTGGGCCCATTTGGCCACAAAAAACTGCATTTTTTTTAATAGCTGAGTAGTATTCCATAGAGTACATGAACCATAGCTTTCTTATCCAGTCTTCTGTTGATGGGCATTTCGGTTGCTTCCAAGTCTTTGCAATTATTGATTGTGCTGCTATAAACATAGGGGTGCATGTTGGTTTCTCATGTAGCAGGTGTTTTGGATATATTCCTAGGAGTGCTATTGCTGGGTCACATGCAGGTTTTGAGTTGTTTAAGTGTTCTCCATACTGATTTCCATAAAGGCTGTACCAACCTGCAGCTCCACCAGCAGTGGAGTAAGGTTCCCTTTTCCCCGCATCCTTGCCAGCAAGTGTTGTTGGTGGTTTTTTGTATGTGTGCCATCCTTGCTGGCGTTAGGTGGTTCCTCATTGTTGTCTTAATTTGGATTTCCCTTATTGCCAGGGAACTTGAGCATTTTTTCATATGTTTGTTTGCCATTTGGGTTTGTTCTTTTGTGAAACGTCTGCCCATTTCCTGTGCCCATTTCGAGTAGTTTGTTTGTTTTGGTGTTTTGGTTGTTTTTTAGTTCTTTGTATATTCTGGAGATTAGCCCTCTATCACCTACGTAGTGCGCAAAGATCTTCTCCCATTCTGTGGGTTGCTTGGAGTGGCGAGTTTGGCAGACCCAGTCTGTGGCAGGCTGGACTTGGTTGGGCTGGACTCCCAGGGACACAGTACCCATCAGTTTGCATAAGATATTATACTGGGGTGGAGCTGACCAGGCAGTTGCATCCACCTGTATATGCATTGGCTAGTGGAGGTGATGGACCAAACCTGACCCTGTACTGGCTGGTGCATACAACAGTGAAGTCTGAGGTCACCCCTTGGGAGATTTCTTGGGAGAATCCTCAGCTAGATGCCTGGACTCAGACCCCAGCCACAGGGAAAATCACAAGATATGTGGTTCAACCTTGGAATGCATATATTTTAACTGGACCTTCTCAGTTGCTGATGCCTATGCAGTGGACAGCATGCCCAGATGCACATGGGGGATATGATGAACTAGGCCAGCAGAAGATGTTGACTCGTTAGAGGATGGAAAGCAGAGCAGGTTGAACAATTCTCCTGGCCAAGCTTGCAGCATGTTCCTGTATCTGTGGATGCACTAAGGTGAACTTTGTAAACCAATAGATTTTTCAGCCCTAGTGCAATGAAACCAACAACATCTCAAAACTATCAAAACCACTCAGGTAACAACACCGTCAGAATATTTTTGTCCATATTGGGGTTTCAAAGGATTCATCAAAAGACAGTCTCCCATCCCCGGGTGCTGTGTGGTTTGACAGCAAGGAGTGGTCCTTTTTCCCCACCCCTTGCAAAAAAAGAAACTGAAACACTTGTCCCACTCACCTTCCTCCATACTTGAGCGTCCCCACCCTAATTGGAGGCCAAGGAGACCACAGGGAATTGGAGTGCCTTTGGAGGCTGAGAAATCTGAGGTCATCCACCCCCGTTTGGATCTACCAAATGGGATAGAAGAAGCCCAAATCCTTCCTCACAGGATCCAAGGTCATCGGAACAATGGCCAGGAACCCTGAGTGGTCCACAGAAACAGAACAGTAAATTTCCTTTGGGACTCGGGAGAGGAGCTTTCTCTGGTCCTTACTTAGTTCCAACTTTGGATCCCTACCCTCTCTTGCAATGACCATCAGGGTCGCTCCGGAGCTGCCCCCCCCCCCAAAAAAAGACAAACAAGCAAAATTAGAATAGATTGACAGAGAACAACAAGGAAAGCTTAGAACCAGACAGAAAATGGTCAGCGTGGACTCACACATACCTTACACAAAGATTAGTTACTCCTCACTAAGGTATTGAAGATTTCTCGGCACACCCCTCCTAAAACTGTTCTGCACCTCAACTGTGGACATATGCCTTGTTAGAGTTATAACCCAATTTAGACTATCCTAAAATCTGCCAAGATCAGCAAAATTATGCTTCAACACTATAAACTGCTAAGTACTAAAATGAAAATAGACATGAGACAGCTGAATAGTACCCTATAGCCATTTTAAGGTGTATAGCAGCCGGTTGAATATAAACTAAAATTGAAATGTCAATGAAGTAGCCACAGGATGTGGTTAAGAACTTGCATTTTTTTAACATATTGGTTAATCAATACCATGTCAAATAATTCCATAATGTTGTAAATTGTTGTTGATGTTGTGTTGGGGCTTATAATTGATTGGGATGATATTCTGCCAGCTCTGCCTTCAGACCAGAGATGATCTCCCCAAGAAACCGTTGAATTTATCTGAGCAATAAGATGCTGGACTCTTTGCTTGATACATGTTTGCAAAGAAAGAATCTTGACTGAATTTGAACTGTAATACTGCAACAAGGTGGAGGAATCCACCATGGGGGGAAGGGGGGAGGGGTTGGGGAGGGGCTGGGAGAATCCCAGAGCCTACGAAACTGTGTCACATAATGCAATGTAATTAAAAAAAAAAAAAAAGAAAGAAATCACCAAGAGTTTGAAGTTGATCCAAGTGCACAAGGATGGTTTATTGAAGCTCAGCACATCCAAGCCTGGGTTCTTGGTTGAGAGCAGGTAGTTGGCTGACTGACCGGCCAGCTGGCCAGCCAGGACCAATACCCCTCACCAGGAGTGTGGCCCCAACAGAACATTCATAGGGTTTTTATAGGGGCAGTCCACAATAGCTTGAAAAGGGGCAATTCACAACAGCCTGCAAGGTGAGGGGAAATACCACACATTCCCTACCTATCTTGGCTGGACAGCCCACGCCTCCAGCAACTAAGGGAAGCACCCACTTAATTACTTGGAGCCACTTGTGAGATAACCAGACTTAAGTGGGCCTTGATTCATTAAAGGTCACATAGTTCGCTAAAGGTCACATAGGCCGTTTGGCCTGTAAGGTCATGCAGTTTCTTAGTAGCAATGAGCAAATGGTTGGAATTTTGATACTGAGGTTCTTCAAAAGTACTAGGTTTCCAATCTTAGCTTTGTTCATTTTTGGATATGTGAATTGGATAACTCAGATTAGAAAAAGGAATTACACTAATACTATCTGTAAATGGGTAATGCATATGAAATTCTGTAAATTATAAAACTCAAGATGTCACTACTATTTATCAATGGTGAATTACACTTTAAGAGCCTTAAAAAGTGGAACTGACAAGATAAGTAGGCTTGCTAATTGCTAATGGTTAATCCAGATAAATGTATGCATCAGTGTTCCCCATGTGAGTGCAAGCAGAAGACAGGCTGACAATGTTATCATTCTGATTCATATTCTGTGGCATTGAGAATGAGGCCACTGGTCAAAGGAGACACAGGACAAAGCTGTAGTGGTTTCGGTCCCAGGATGTCTTTACAATGTGATTTTCAAGTTATCATGGCATTAAAATTACTGTTAATGATACACTACCGTTTCAGTGTTTCCCCTTATTCAGGGGTACATTAGCCACTCAATTGTTCCTGCCCACTTCAAGTTAGCAGATGCAGCTTTTAAACCCAGAGACTCTTTGATTCTCATTATGGACTAGGTGAAAAGATGCACAGGCTTTGTCATCCAATCAAATGGAAACTCTTTGCTGCTAATAGTCTACAGAACTGAAGGGTCAGGCACAAAGCAAAGAAAGAGAGAGAGAGAAATATTACTAATAACAAACCCCGAAGAACAAATAATGGGAAACAGAGCCAGGTCCAGGTCTCACCAAAGGCCTGGATACTCCCTCATCTTATGACTTGGATATTTCAGAACCCTTGTATGTATGGGCTATGTTCCTGTGTGGAAGAAGAAAAATCTAAGAATCAACTTTAGGGAAGTAAAATTATAGAAGGAAAAAATGGGAAGATGTCCAAGGATCAAATAGTTAATGCATGCCAGCTTATAGATAGGGAAAGTCAAGTCCTAGAGAGAGAAAAGACTTGTCAAATGTTGCCGGATAATTTAGGGAAGGAGGAGCAGAATTAGCAGGTACTTGTGTCAGATGGTAGCCATAGTAGCCCCCTGAAAAGGGAGTTTCAAAGACCGTTTAAGAAAAACAGTCACAATTACTAGGTTACTTGTTAAAGATTTCGTGGGTCCCCTCTCAGGTATACCGAGTTAGAATTTCAAAAGTGAGCCAGTAACACCAGAATTTTAACAAGCTTTATGATGATGCTGGTACACATGATGTTTAAGAAGTACTGCCCTAGACACCCTCTTTTTCTTCCCTCTCTTTTCTTTTTTGCATTTTTTCCCCACGTATTTAAAAGAAAACAAGAGCAGATCTGAAATGCTGCAGAATCCCCATAGTAACACGCACTTGTCAATTGTTGGGCCCAACCAATAAAGAGAAAGATTTGGCGGTCAAGCCCACTTAGAAAGCTGCCGCCGGTTGTCGAACAGTATGGGTGAGGACGGGCTCCACAGCCTGCAGACATTTTCACGTCCTCCTTAGGTTACACAGATAAGCTAACTAAAGATGCAGCCCCTGAGGTGCAATTTTCCTGCCCCGTGACATCGACTGGCTTTCTATGTGCAAGTCGTTTGTTGCCCCCGTCCACTGGTAGCGTCTCCCGATTCGACCAATCTCCCAACTTTTTAATAAACACAAACCCTGGGGTGTTCCGGAAAGACCTAACAGCAGGAGTGCCTGGCCTAGCCGCCTCGGGGGCAGGGCTACGTGGAGGAACCCATGCAGCAGGGGTGAAACAAAGGGTTAACAGGCAGCGCTCCCCAGAGTGGCAGGGAGAGAAGCCAATTGGGCGCCGAGCAAGCCTACGTCTGGTGTGGGCGGGCTTGGGACAAAACGTGTGAAAGGAAACCGGAGGCGGCCTAGGGGTGAGAGGGCAGGTGGGGTTAGGGGTTCGCGGGGGGGAGGGGGGGACGCTGCCAGAAAGACCCGCGACCCTGGGCCCCTTCCTGCTCTTTTCTCCTTAGGGTTCGGTAGCAGCGGAGACAGCCCGGGACCCCGTGCATGGCCACGGAGTTACAGTGCCCAGACTCCCTGCCCTGTCAAACCCAGCAAGTAGTCTCTGACTCAGCCCTAAATCCTGAGCTGCTGCGGCTGGACGAACACACCCCGGACTATGTCGGGGGAAGCTGTGCCGCCATGGCCAAGCTGACTCTCCGCCAGGAGGACACTGAGTGTAGCGTGCCCGCCGAGAGGGACCCTCAGGCCCGCAGCGATGCCACCCTCAGCTCAGAAAACAGCAGTGGCACGGGTGATGGTAGTAACTCGGACACATTCGTCGGCGACTCCCTCCCGGTGGACACTGAGCTCTCCTGGCAGATCGGACCGCAGCTTAAGTTGCTGCCTATGAATGATCAGATTCGGGAACTGCAGACCATCATCCGTGACAAGTAAGCGGAGGTTGCAAAGAGAAAGGGCGGTTGGAGGGTCTTGCCGGAGGTGGGCGGGGACCGGAAGCAAAAGGGCTAACAGGGTAGTGTTCTTGGCCTTGGCTAGCTGATCTTTGGAGACTGGGGCAGGGCCTTTTCTTTTGGGGTGTGGACTGGGGGTGTCATGTGACACAAGCCTCCAACCCTCTGTTTCCTAGTTTCCGGGTTGAATTTTTGCTTTGTGGAGGGGAGGAACCTTTTGAGGTAGCCTGGGGCCTCTTTGTCTCTGAGCAATGCGTTCTCACCCATTCTAGGCAGGTAAACGCCCTAGTGTAATCTGCACATTCCTGTCCACGTGGTAAATCTATGGTTATTAACTGAATTTAGGTTCTATCACTGATCACCTCAGGCTCACAAATTATGAAATAAAACAATTTCAAGAAAAATCTATCCTACTCTAGTGCCCTTCTGACCCTTTAATGTTTGCTACGGTAAATATATCATTGGAGCTAGGATCTTGAAGTTCATGGTTACCTGGTCACATGAAGGCTTATCATCCAGCTCTTATCAATATCATCTTAGTGTAAACAGAGCAAAGGGAACCTTAAGGAGCCTTTGACTATTTGTGATCCTTCAAACCAGTGCAGCTAGAACTTCACACTAGAGTGCTAGAAATTTCTTTCTGAAATTTCTCGGAGTCCCAGGTGAGCTTGTGACACAGAACCACTAGGGATATCCCCATGCTGAAAGTAAATGTCTGGTTCTTGTACCGGTGTCGCCATAGATCCAGCTTTCTACTAATGCACTACCTGGGAGGCAGCAGCTGATGGCTCAAGTGCTTGCGTTTCTGCTACCCTGTGAGAGGCTCGGATAGAGTTACTGGCTCCTGGCCTGGTCCTGGGTCAGCTGCTGGGCTTTTGAGGGAATGACTTAGCCGGATAGAGAATCTCTCAATCTTTGGTTCTCCAGCTCTCTCTCTCTCTGTTGCCCTGGCCTTTCAAATAAAAATAAATTTAAAAAAAAATTTTTTTTTAAGGACTCCCTAATTCCTGTGTTGTAGATGGGTTTTCTCAAGAGAAATGAGTGCCACGGTGAATTATAATTGGCTTATTGGCAACACTTTGAGTAGCTACAGTTTGTCAGAATAGCCTGTTTTCAGTGGCAGGCCATGCCTCGATCTTTGAAAAGTGCCTACTGACTGATAGAGTGCCACTTCCTTAATCAGACCCTGGTAACTTTTTTCTCATACTGTTTCAATAGGCCCCTAATTTGTTTCTTTGCCTGCTGTTTTCTCTCTTCCATACCCACCCACACATAACTGTACAATCAATCTTCTTAAATATACAGCTCTGACTTAGTAACTATCATACTCAGCAGCCTTCTTTCGTTTCCCCCCAACCTATCAAATAAACTCCAGAATCATTGGCTTGATATCAAAGCCTCTCATACGGTTCCTCAGATAAATTCTGAATCATCCCTGCTTCTACTCTCAGTTAGAATTCCCTGTATCTCTGTTATGCCTGTTCTGACTCTGTCTATTCACAATCAAACTCAACTTTGCATCTGTGCCTCTGCCAAGAAAACTTTCTTTATTTGAATTTTGAAAAAGATTTATATATCTATTTGAAAAGGCACAGTGATGTAGAGAAAATATCTTTCATTCCATGGGTCACTTCTCAAAAGGTCACAACAGTCAGGGCTGGGAACACTGAAGCCAGAAGACAAGAGCTCCATTCCAGACTCCCACTTGGGTGGCAGGAATCTAAGTGCTGGGGCCATTGTTTGCTGCCTCTCAGCCACTTAGCTGGAAGCTGGATTGGAAGTGCTCCCGGATACTTTTAAATTTGGATACATGTATCACAAGTGGCAACTTAAACTGTTGTTCTGTAATACCTGCTCTGAGAACATTTTCTTTCAATATTTTTCCTGGCTGATCTTCCCCTGGCCTTTTTAAAAAATAAAGATTTATTTGAAAGAGTGACAGAGAAAAGGAGAGAGACAAAGAGTGAGAGAGCTTCCATCTTCTGGTTCATTTCCCAACTGGCTAGAGATGAGACAGGCTAAAGTCAGGAGCCTGAAGCTGCATCCAGGTGTCTCACTTGAATAGCAGGGGCCCAAGTACTTGGGCCGTGTTCTGCTGCTTTCATACATGTATATCAGGAAACTGGATTGGAAGTGGAGCAGCTGAGACTCAAATCAGTGCTCTTATGGAATATTGGCATCACAGGTGGCAAATTAATTTCCTTCCCTGGCCTTTGATAGGCAAGATTTACCTTCTATCTTGTTAGGTGTTTTAGAAAGCTGTTATTAGGTTGGAGTTTTGGTTTGTTTTGCTTTTAAAATCTATTTACCAGAGACAGGAGATAGAGATAGATAGAGACAAAGAGAGGGAGAGAGAGAATATAAGTGCTCTTATCCCCCGGCCCACCACCCCAAAGCCTGCAGCTGGGAGGGAGCTAGGAACTTGATCCAGGTTTCCCACCTGAGTGACAGGAACCCAACCACTTCAACTATCACCATTGCTTTTAAGGTCCACACTAGCCGGAAGCTGGATTCAGGAGTTGGAGCCAGCCAAGTGAAATGTAGTTGTCATGGTATCTTAAACTTCCAGGCCAAATACCTACTTCCAACTTCTAAATTGTTTTTAACTTTTGTTTGAGAGGCAGAGAGGAACAGAATGGTAGGGAGAGAGGACTCCCATTTGCTGGTACACTCCCCAAATGCCAGCAATAGACAGACCCTAGTTGGACTCAAAGCCAAAAGCCAGGAACTCAATCCAGGTTCAAGAATCTGAACTTGAACTTGAGCTTTCACTGCTGCCTCCCAAGATCTGCATTAATAGAAACTCACGCCAGGAGGAGAGCCCATGTCCAACCCAGGCACTCTGATAGAGAAGTCAGATGTCCCTTAACCATTAGACCAAATGCCTAACCCCATTTTATGTATTTTTATATATTGATCTTTTCTATTAGGTTTGAAGTTCCTTGAAGGCTGAAATCTTACATCTTTGAACTCTAACCATGCCTTGCATTGTGATGCAGCAGATTAAGCTGCCACTTAAGCTGAAACCCATTACAGGCATCCTGGTTTCAGTGCTGGTTTGAGCCCCAGATACTCTGCTTCTTATCCAGTTTCCTGCTAGTGCATCTCAGGAGGCAGCAGATATTAGCTCAGGTGCTTGGGCTGCCGTCTCCCATGTGGGAGAACTAGGTGCAGTTTTGGCTCTTGGCTTTGGCCTGGCCCAGTTGTTATGGTCATTTGGGGGAGTGAACCTTTACATGGAAGATTTTCTCTTTTTCTTTCATGCTACCTTTCCAATAAATGGATAAATAAATCTTTAAAAAATAGATGCTCGATTATGGAGCTTTCTTCTTATTTATTAATACTATACTTGTGAAACTATTTAAATACTCTTAATCACTATTGCAAACTACTGTGATCATGTGCTCTAACAGATAAGCAGTGATTTAGCAAATAGGAACCATAACATTTATAGTTGTACAGGTAGTTTAAATAAAGCTTATGTATAAAATAAGAACAATTTTTTCTTTCTGTGAAAAAGGAATTACTAATCTTGGATCTTGGGGCCTTGTTGATATAGGTTGTTTTCAGGACTTTAGCAATCTCTTAGAAATTATCTGGGAGCTTCTGTTTGCATGTGCATTTTAATGATTGCCAACATTGACATCTTTATTGAGGTATGATTCACATTCCATACAATTTCAGCATCTAAAATATATGATTCAGTGGTTTTAAATATTTTCACAGTTGTGTAGCTGTCATCACAACCAACTTTAGAACATTTTCATGACCTCACCAAGAAATGCTATATCCATTATCAATCACTTTCTGTTTTCCCTCCAACTCATCCAAAGCCCTAGATAAGTAATACTTTCTATCTGTTGATTTGCCTATTCTGGACATTTTGTATAAAATAAATCATAGAATATATGGTCCTTTGTGACTAATTTCATTTGGCATAATGTTAATCCATGTTATTAAAATTAATATGTAGCATTCCTTTTATGGCTGAATAATATCCCATTATATGGCTATACTGCAGTTTGTTTTTCATCAGGTAATGGACATTTGAATGATTTCAACTCTATGGCTATTATGAATGATTATGAGTAATGCTGCTATATACGTCTGTGTGCATTTCACTTTTTTTGAGAGACAGACAGAAAGAGGGACTGACAGATTTCCCATCCTGCAGTTCACTCTCCAAAAGCCTCCAACAGCAGGGGTTGAGCCAGGTTGGAGCTGGTGACTCAATCTTAAGTCCCTCATCTGGGTAGCAGAGACCCACTACCTGAGCCATCACTTGCTGCTTGCCGGGGTGCACATCAGCTAAAAGCTGAACTGGGCAGTGAAGCCCAGGGCTTGAGTCCAGGCACTCTGATAAGGGATATGGACATCCCACCTGCTGGCTTTTGACCATTCAGCCAAATCCCTTCCCTTGTACCTTTTCTTAATAGGGTAGGGATTCTCTGCTTTCCTTAGCTTTTGTAAAGGATATGATATCGTAAACCATTATTGTAGAGCTTGGAGACAGCATGGTATTTGGCATTTACATATGACAGTATCAACTCATACTTGATTAAATTTCATTACTTGGAAAAGCCTTGGTTATATCATAAACCTAGATGTAAGTAGGATCTTTTTTTTCCTCCCGAGTTTGGAAGGAGGCAGTAGGATTCAGGGGAGTGATCTCAGGCTAGATGTTTAGCAACTCTGTGCTGCTTCAACTTTATCATTTATGAAATGAAGATGTTAGTAACAGCTCACAAGGCTCTTGGAAAGCCAAAACAAGATATTGTCACAAAAAAATGTTATAAACTGTGAAGAGCTGTGCCTGTTTAAAACATTTCAAACCATCATGTTTGGATTTTAGCTGAAAATTTGAAGCTATCTCAGAAAGTTCGTAGAAAATGGACTTAAAGTAAATTTGTTGCAAACATCTTGAAATGTGTCCTGTAGAACTCACATTTTTATTTTGAAAATCAATATTGAAAAGCACT